ATACAGTCACATTGTCTGGGGACTGGGGTTGGATGTGGGGTTAGTAAGATGGTTTCCCTCGCCTGACTTCTAAATTCAGTTCATTGACAGGAAACTTGAACCAATAATAAAAAGAGAACCCTGTACCCCAACAACCCTATATTAGATGGTAAATAATTCACCCATAGAAGTACAAGTATATCTCATATCTAAGCAGTTTTTGAAACAAAATATTGACCTCAACATCAGGTATTTTTTACATTCATTTGTTCCTCTAATTATATCACTTGTGAAAATTGTCTAATGATTCCAGAAGAATTGAGTTCCTGTAGAATCAGGAGCTGAAAAAATTTATTATAGCAAAGAGGCATATGTAGAAAATGCAGATTATTTCCATTCAGGCAAGCACTCAACTGCTTCAATTTTGCCTGCCTTTAAAATATCCAGGACGTAAAGTGGGCGTAAGAGCATAAAGATCATGGCACTGCAGTGATTATCTTCCCCCCCCTGCCCACAACAGGCTGGGTCTGCCTGCAACTTTAGACAAAACACAATAGCCTCTATTTTAGACAACAAATGGTTAACATGCTGCTGTAGTTATTCTTCACCAAAAGTACTGTCTCATACATTTTGCTAAATTGTCTAAATCCTGGCGTGGTATTGATCTCTCCCTCTGTGAGCTTGCACCCATTCAATAAGCTGCAAGAACCTCTTGTCCTGGCTGAATTCCCTACAAAGCAGGACCCAGGTATGTTACACCCGACAGTGGTCCTACCGCTGGGAGCTGATTGTTAGCTCGTGGGAAACAAACCACTGGAGACAGGAAGGAAATTTTATGTTAAAGTGAGAAACATGATAGGGAAAGTTGCCCGTGAGGTTAGGTGGATAAGCAGGCTGCCAGAAGCATGACTGTTATGATATTATTTAACCAAACAACCCCTACCACGTAACTGCGCATGTACCTAAGAACAGAAATGAATCTAGAAGGATAGACATAGAGTATACACACATCAACAGTGGTTATTTGGGGGTAATATGATGTTGGTTGGTTTTTGTTTTCTGAATTCTCTAATGTTTTACAATAAGCATGAATTAGTTCTATAACTGGGTGAAAATCACCCTGCTTTAGTAAGAAGGAGGAAGGAGTAAAATACAACGATTTTATGACCTAACCCAAGGAATTGTTACTCTTTGCTTTCAAAATAGGGAGATTTCAAAAGTTCCTCCAGGATTTCTTAAAAGAGCTGCTTTTCTGTGCATAAGCATTTAAAGAATACAGCACTGAAATTTATTAAGAGGATAGTACTCATAATCCCAAGATTACAGAATCATTAGGAGTAATGAAAAGATTCACGCAGATCTATGGGAAGAAACCCAAACACCCAGACATCCCGTTCCAGAGGGTCTGTGCTGCTCACAGTTAGGGGCCAGCAGGATGGCAAAGCATTGGGGTCAGCCCCTAAACAGGTGCCTAGAGCTTCTTAACTTTTTAAATAAGCCACCTATTTATTTTCCTTACATCTTCCTTAAGGTTTCCTTAAAAGAAATATCCTATTACTAAACTATTAATAAATGTGCATACATATAAAATATTTATTTGGGGTTGTTGTCCAGTTGACAGATTTCTTTTTTCTCACATTATCTTGAGACTTGTTTAAGACAAGACAATCAAAGGACTGGCAGTTCAAAGAAAGAGAGTTTCTATTATGGCGCAGTATCTTGCCTCTTAGGCTGGTTTAGTCACTTATTTCCTTTTATTATAATGCCAAATGTTATTTAGATTTCAGTCATTTAGTAATGCTACACTGAACACATCAGGGCTCCTGAAAAATTTCATACCTACTAGCCCCATCATTTTCATAATTGATATCCTTTTCCAACCAAATTACACTACTATTTAAAAAAAAATCTGTGTTTTACCAGAGTTTAAAAGATTATGATGCAACGAACAACAGTCTTCAAAAATGTTCCTTCATGTTATTAGGAATTAGGGAATCTTGTTAAAATTCTTTCAGCTTTTAAGAGACATAAGCAGCTTTGGGATGTAGTGCCTGACATGAACTTTTGAAGTAATTCCCTTGGAGCAATGATCTGCATTAGTGAAGATATTTAGTTAAAGGTAGCACCCTACCCTCCTTCTCCGTATTTGAGCAGTCAATCTAATTGCCTTTTCAAGACAAAGATTGAAAACAGCCCACACTACAGACTTTTAAAGCAAAGTAAGTTTTGCTTTAAACCTTCTCTAATGGCGACAGAGAAGGATCCATCAAGGAAGAGAAACCCTTCTTAGGCCATGGTGACTAATGAGGCCAGGCTGTTAAGGAATGTAGAAAGCAGGGTTTTTAATTGGACTAGTTAGCTTGACTCAAGGAAGGCTGGTGAAAGAAACCCAAGTAAAATCTGAATGACATTCAATGTTCAATGACAGAGCAACTTTAAAGGAGAAATGTCATCCTCGAATCCAGAATTGAAAGAGACTCGGTGAGTGAGTTCTCCCAGTGCACCTAGAGTTGTTTCCTGAATACTGGTGCTTCGGAGAAGGCCTGGGGTCTATCAGAGTTTGTATGTTCAACCTTAAACCAGTTCGGTTTTGACTCTAGCTTAGGGTATCCTAGCAGAACTGGTTTACAGGCTATGGACATTTTTTCTTTTCTTCCCTATCAAAGTCTCTCCTAAGTGACAAGTCACCCTTAACATGTTTGTGGAGACATCAAGCTCAATACGAATCAGCAGGTGAACTGGCTGCTCGGAAGACTTAATTTACTCTTAGGTGGCCCTGACAGAAGTATGGTAGCCTCATCTCAGAAAGGTGACAGTCCCTTTGCTTTGTACTAGTCTGGACACATCTCGAGGGCTGCACTCAGTTCTTATAATCATATTATTAGAGGGTTACTGACAAACTGAAGCACAGCCCAGGGAGGGTGACGAGGGGGGTGAGGGTCTCAGGAACATGCCATCAAACAATGGTTGGGTCTGATCTGGAAAGGAAGGGAGGCAGCGGGGAGGGAGCATTTGGTGTATCTGACTTCATATATTTGAGAGGTTATGATGGGGAGGAAGGAGTAAATCTGAAACATGGTCCCAGAGGGCAGACCTTGGATTAGAGGGGAGAAGTTACAACGAAGGAGATTTTGGCTCTGTATTGGGGATAATTTTCTGTTAGAGCTGCTCACCAATGGTGTGGGAAGCCTTGTACCTTCCTACCAGGAGGAAGTTCCAGCAGAGACTGGAAGGTTATCTGTTGGTTTTACTATAAAAGGATGGCTACATAGGTTGGAGGTCAGGTTATAAGATTTTTGAAAATTCTATGTAACTTGAGAGTTTGCGACTCAGGGAAACAAAGTCCAGTCTCCTAAAGGCCTTAGTTCATGTGAAAGTTTGTAAACTTGAGTTCTCATACACTGAGTGTTTGATTCATGAGCAACCCAGGTTCCCAAATCCAATCCCACCATGAAAGAAGAGAAAACTGTTTTCATGTGCTGCTTCTCCAATATGCCCAGATATGACTGAAAAAGCCTTTCCAGTGATCTCACTGACGTATCTATTCAGTAATGTCAGCAACGGTATAAGAATACATGACCCCATCCCAAAAGGGTTTTTTTTTTTTTTTAAATGCTACAGAGTAGACTTAAATACTGTCTTTTCTCATGCATAGAGCTAACTGGAGAAGAATGCTCAGCAATGATATAGATAATGCCCCACAAGCTACAGGTAACTTAAATGAGGAAACATGGATTGATTCCAGATGGAATTAAATTACTTCCAGAAAGGGCAAATATGTTTTTCCCTTCTGCGTGAGCAAATACACTATGATTGTTTCTAAGCAGGTTGAATTATTTTTTAAGAAGTATAGAGAGTTATTTTAACAGTAATCTTTAGTTAGATAATTTTTTCCATTTTTATTTCTGTAAAAAGCTTTTGTGTTGTGTACCTGTCTGAAAACAACATGTCAAGTAAAGCACAAGCATCTTTAGAGTGCAAAAATAATTTCCTAAGTAAGCAAATAAAACTTTGCACTTCAAATCAGGCCTTGATTCATTAAAAATCTTAAACTTCTCATGAGAAAAATTAACATTTAAACCAGTGCTGCTTGGCCAGGCACTCCACCACACAAGAATATGAAATATCTCCTCTAAAAAAGTACAAAAAGGACAAAACCACAAATGTGGAACTTCAATTAATTTAAAGCCCCAATCAGCAAAGAATAAATCCTTCGCAGATCTAATTACCAGCGCTCTCGGAAGACCCAGGCCGACCAGCCAATCTTCCCCGTGTTTGAACAGCTTGATGAACTAGGGGACTGATGGATATCAAGTCATTTTGTTTAATTTATAAATGGATTTTCCCCTAATACTTAAATTATCATCAGTACAACACAATGAAAATGGGAACATTCTGAATGCAAAGTCTATAAGAGTCCTGGAAGGAATCCCAATGAGGAATGTCACCTCTGTTCATTCCTCTATACAATTGATCTAATTAAATACTGAGGGTAGAAAGGCAGTTTAAAATGTAGCCATTTCTGTTTTCTTTTTAGCCTTAATTTATCTGTTCACATCTTTCAAGTACCTTCTGATACTTAAAAAAAAAAAAAAAGGAATCGAGATTTCTGCTAGTCTGTAATACTTTTAATTCTCTGCAAGCTAATATGCAAAAAGTCTCTGCCATAGATTTTGCTGCATAATAACTAAATGCAATACATTTAGCCATGGTAACAATAAAAGGAAGAGGGCTTTCCAAATATGATCCTTTTCCGTCCAGTAATTTGACAGAGAAACTAAAGGAAATAGTACTTTCTATGTCTATTGTTCATCTGAAGTTAGATCTCTGGATTATACTTATTAAAATGTCTCCTTATTTTCAAATCTCTTCCTTATTTAATTACTGCATGGGACAGAAAGCTGCATGGAATTGTTAAATACCATTAAACCTATTTGTAGTCTCCTCACACTGGCAACTTGTGTGCAATCATTGGCAAAGGTCCTGCCCACCGACCCACACGTTGGGATTGCAATTCCCACCTGGCTCAGGGGTCTCTGACTGGGAAGAGGAAGATGCTGAGCTGGCTCCATCCTCAGTGGTACCCTGCGAGAGGAGACCCCGCCCAGGTGGGAGCTTCATGCCCAGCTGCTCTGCCATCTCCACGTGGTCCCCAGGGTGGACATAGTCAAAGACGCTGCTGCCTGTCAGCTCCACCTACAGGGGAAGAGAAAGAGTGGGAGAGAAAGGTGTCACAGGCTTTCATTTCCATATTCAGAGCCACTGTGATTCAGATTCGGAGCAGAAAAGGAAATACACGCAGCCCCCAGAAACAATCCTGGTTCTAAGTCTTTATCCTCACTCAAAAGCTTAAGGATTCTTGAAATTGAAAGAGAAAGATTTTTTTTTCACATGTATGTATTTAAGCAATTGTTTAGGCCAGTTTTTTTCTCATACACTACTGTTTGCATAAAGCCAACACATTCTGTGAAATGTGGATGAGCCGGCCTGGAGCTCAGCTCTTTTATCCACGCATCATCAAATGCTTTCATGTTTGGTGTCAACCAGATGATTGACTGAATTCTACAGTTTTCTCACTGAGAAATTTGAGCTTTATATAGAAATAGCCAGCGATAGCAGATGAGTATTCTCCTTAAAGCACACAGGTTTCCAAGATGCGTATTTATATATCCCAGCTTATTTTTATGTAAATGTAAAAGGATGAAGTGCTGCTTGCAAATATATGCAAAGGCATAATGTTTTCATTAAATATTACTCATTAGCTCTGTAATCATATGGAGAATTTTCCACGCAAAAGAGGTCAGCTGGGGTCTGAGGCAGCCATTTTGTTTTTCTGCTGGTATCAGCTCATTTTGCTTTTGATCTAATAAAATTCATGGTACACATCTCCTTGAGGGCTTTAAAAATGTTTTATTTTGTACACTCTTTGTATTAGGCTGACTCTAAAGGTAGAGAATGAACACGAAGTATCAGAGGGGGGTTGGCCTGAATGGAGGCATGGCCTAATTCAGTGGCGTGTCTGGCACAGCCCGCGGCTCGGTGCTGCGCTGTCCAAGGAGGCGAGAGTTGCTGATAAGGATTGGCCTTACTTCTGTACTTTTCTGAGGCTATAACCCATGCCTCTTTCCAAGAATAGCAATAATGCTCGAGAAGAACAAAATAGTGTGCTCGGATTATGGGTACTATGAGAGGGAGAGATGTATCTGCAAGGGAACAAGTAAATACTCTTTTCTAGGTCACTAATGCACTTCCCAGTCCTCTGGTGTTCTTAAAGGTTTCAGGCCAACTATGATGTACCACAGAAACAGCCAGAAGTTCAGGTTCCCATAAGTTTCTTGGTGGATATTTACCTAAAACCTCGGCCTACGCATCTGCCTTTCCTGTGAAATGTGCATCATCCCTCCAAATTCCACCTGAATGCCTACATTCTTTTTCTTGTCAAGAAGGAAGGCTGTCACAGGGAGCCTAATACCCAGAGAGCAATTAGTAGCACCAAATCCCAGTAAAATGATCACATCTACTCCCAGACGCCATTTGATTAAAATCTTAACAGGCTACACATCTTCAACATCTATCAATTAACAGGGGTATAGCCAGAAAAATGGGAGGCTAAATTCAGTTTGGTTAATAGCTATTCCTGAAAAAGGCTCACATAACTTTTACCGAAAACGAGGTACTTTCTGCTATTAAATTACACTCTCCTACTGTATTACCCTACTACTGACTCTATCATTTTACAATAACTATTTCCTCCATTTGATATTGTTACAGAGCGTAAATCAGAATTCATAAGTGATCAGTTCCTACCCTCTGGGAGGGAGGGATTACATGGAAATAATCCCTTTAATGTGCGCCTTGCCTCTAAGCATTTCACACAGCAGTAAATGGGTAAGCTGACTTTGAGCAATTAGGAAATGAAATGAAACTAATAAAATGTGTGTTTTAATATTTCTTGATGGTTATTTTGTTTGGGGATTAGTGAATATGAAGGAGGCACTCTCATTTTGCAGGGACTCCAAGTGTACCACTTTAATAAATATTTCTGTCACTTTTCTCAAACTCTGAGTCTTTCTTTAATACTGAATCATAGCTTTTGGCACAGACCATGGATTGTGATAAGATGACAACACAGGTGGGATACAGAATAGAGTTTTAGGCATCCTGGTTATTGAGTATGTGTGTAAGCCTGTCTTACGGAGAGGAGGAGTAGGTCACTATCTCCACAGCCTGGTTTGCTTTTCCTTTCCACAAACTAATGTCCCGAGTACAGCACATATACAGCAAGATTGAGTCACAATGTGCCATATCACACTAGTGAGGAATTTCCCCTCCAATGATCTCATACGATCCTAAGGTATAGATACTCCAAAGTCTAATTTTGCATGGAAGGGCTGGCACTGAGAATTACACCCTATCACAATCTTTATGATTTTTAGTCAAGGTCGCAAGGTATATGGAAAAGCACAAAATACTTAAGAGTCATAACCTGACTTGGAAATCAGAATCGTTTTCCCTTCTGCTGTGTGACCTTGGGCAACTCTTTAACCTCTCTGGGCTTCAATTTCCAATTCTGCAAGGGGGCAGTATTGCTGCTCCGCAGGACTCTGGAGGAAGAGGGGGCACTACGTGGGTGGCATCCCCTGGACCGCCGCTCCATGGGAATGCTGCAAGGCAGCAGCCTGGGACCTGGGGTGAAAATGAAACTGGCTTTACATGCTTCAAAGCCTAATTTTGAAAATTCAGTGAAACCATGCACAGGAAATCACTTTGTGAGGAATAAGCAGTACAAAAATGCTTGCCGTTGTTGATGCTCCTTAGTGGATAAGAAGAGGTGACACACAAACATATATATTGCTGTTTAAATTTGGTGAGTTCTTAGGGTTTGTGTGGTCACTTTGGGACATCACTTTATTCAGTAGGGGGCGCAGCAGAAATGATGTATGCTTAGAACCTCAACTACAACAATAACAATGTTAGCAGCTACCTACCACTGTGTACCAGAGCACTGGCCAATCAGCTCCGCAAATGACACCTGGAGGCTGAACTCAGCTGGCACCAGAGCCCCACTAGTGACTCCTGCAATAGGGGATCATTCCCTGCATACCTCTCCACTATAGTCAGGTCTCATAGCCAGTCAGCCTGAAGGTCAGTCTGACCTACTGAGATGCCAACAGCAATCAAGTATCAACTATATCAGTCCTGGCTGGTGTGGCTCAGTGGATTGAGTGCAGGCCTGTAAAGCAAAGGGTCGCCAGTTCGATTCCCAGTCAGGGCACAGGCCTGGGTTGCAAGCCAGGTTCCCTGGTGGGGGGCGTGTGAGAGGCAACCACACATTGATGTTTCTCTCCTTCTCTTTCTCCTTCCCTTCCCCTCCCTAAAATAAATAAATAAATAAAATCTTTTAAAAAAGTATCAACTATATCAGGAGAGCACACACACAATGCACACAAGTAACACCTGGAACACCCAGCTCAGGTGATCAGGGAGACTAAGTACCCAGGCCCCACAGGACACCTACCATATAACACAAACTGAGAGACAAACTGCCAAGCTGCCAAAAACTGCCAAAACTGAGAGACACAGAAGATCTACATAAAACATAGTCAAAAAACACTAGGAGGGAGCAAAAACAAAACAAAACAAAAACAAACAAACAAAAAATGTCCCAAATGAAAGAATGGAGTGAAACTCCAGAAAAATAATTAAACGAAATGGAGATAAGCAATCTACCAGATACAGAGTTCAAAACACTGGTTATAAGGATGCTCAATGAACTTAGAGGAAGAACAGATTAACTCAGTGAGAACTTCAACAAAGAGACAGCAAACATAAAAAAGAACCAGTTGTAAGTGAAGAGGTAAAGACTGTTACAACTGAAATGAAGAATATATTAGATGGAATCAATGGCAAATTCAGTGAAGCAGAGGATCAATCAGCAATATGGAAGACAAGGTAGCGGAAAGCACCCACTTGAAACAGCAAAAAGAAAAAAGAGTTTAAATAAAATAAGGACAGTTTAAGGGAGCTCTGAGACAACATTCAAATCATAGGGCACCAGAAGTAGAAGAGAGAGATCAAGGGATTGAAAACGTATTTGAAGAAAGAATGACCAAAAACTTCTTAAACTGGTGAAGGAAATAAACATACAAGTCTAGGAAGCACAGAGTTCCAAACAAGATGAACCCAAAGAGGCCCACTGCAAGGCATATCATAATCAAAAGGCCAAAGATTAAAGACCGATAAAGAATGTTAAAAGCAGCAAGGAAAATGAGTTAGTTACCTATGAGGGAGCTCCCATATGACTGTCAGCTGATTTCTCAACAAAAACTTTGCAGGTTAGAAGGGATTGGCAGAAAATATTCAAAGTAATAAAAAGCAAGGACCTAACACAGATTACTCTCCCTAGCAAGGCTATCATTTAGAATGGAAAGAAAGATAAAGAACTTCCCACACAAGAGAAAACTGAAGGAGTTCATTTCCACCAAACTAGTATTTAAAAAAATGTTAAAGGAACTTCTTTAAGAAAAAAAGATTACTTTATGAATAATAAAATGGCAATAACTATATACCTGTCAATTACTTTATACCTACATATAAAGTAATATAAATATATTACTTTAAATAAATATAAAGTATATAAAGTAATTTATATACCTACAAGTTACTTTAATGTAAATAGATTATATGCACCAATCAAAAGGTATAGGGTGGCTGAATGGATAGAACAATCAATATCCATACAAATGCTTGACATACTTGAGATCGAAAGACAACACAGCCCATTTTCAGCCTGAAAAAACCTTGGACATTGCTTGTAGTTATATTTTATCCCCAGGTAATGGAAACAAAAGTAAAAATAAACAAATGGGACTACATCAAACTAAAAAGTTTTTGCATAGCAAAGGAAAACAACGACGGAATCAAAAGACAACCCACAGAATGGGAAAACATATTTGCTAATTCATCTGATAAGGAGTTAATACCCAAATTTATGAAGTACTTACAAAACTCAACACCAGAACCCAACCCAATTAAAATGGGCAAAGGACCTGGTTAGACACTTCTCCAAAGAGGACATACAGATTGCCAGTAGACATATGAAAAGATGTTCAATGTCACTAATCATCAGAGAAATGCAAATTAAAACTACAATGAGCTATCATCTCACACCTGTCAGAATGGCTATCATCAATAAA